GCTTGCTCTGGGCATGAAGAACGGCATATTCAATATAAGTATTTTGCAGAACAACAGACTGTGAAAATCCTGCTTATTCTTTAGTGGCTTCTAAAAGGAAAAATGAGGTGAGAAGCTGGTTTCTGTAGTTAGCTGGAAATCAGACAGGCTTGCTAGCAAGCATATCCAAGCTATTTAAAGGAAAAGCAATTTTGTCCAGCCGGTGATAGGCAATTGCTTAAAAGTTCTGGTTCCCTTCATTTTAAAGAGCTTTCTTAGCCACCAATGTTTTCAGTGTCCATGGCTCAATGGAAGGAAGTGAGGACAGGATTCAGTTTTTTACTCATGTTCTGCAACACCCTTTTTTAACTTATGGCATATTTCCTGGGAAGTATGGAATTGTTGTCCAGTGCATCTGGAGACCACCAGGTTGGGAATGCCTGTCCTATAATGAAAAGAACTTCCTTACTTTTCTTCCACAGTCAAAAGATAACAATTGTTAAAAAAGACTAACGGAAGGAAGATAGATAGATATATAAATAAATAAATGCTGTTGTTTAATATGCTGTTTAAGTTGCTTAAATAAAAGAGGAAGATGGTCTCTTTCTCACATGATTGAAAGGGCTGTTGTTTAAAAGCAGTATGTCCAAATAGTTTGATCAAGGTCTCTTTTCATGTATTGTTTTAAAATGCAAGACCTTTCCTTTCTTTACCTTTTTCCTTTTTCCTTTCTTTGCAATAGACTGCAGCATTTGAATGAGATAACTCCAAGGGCAGTATTAAATAAAACAGGTTTCACTATAGTAGTTCTTGAAATAAAACCAATTTACTAAATGTGGTCATTATTGTTTTCAGTGGCTATTACACATGAGTAAAATCAAATGAAGCCTGAAAACTGGTACCAATTTGACAATAAATTGCTACAATGTACTGTACAACTGAATTTATTACAGCTGTAGAAACAGATATTAGTAAACCAGTGCAGTATTACACATTACTACATCATCTAAGATACTCCTGTCTTTTTGCATTAATCTTTACTTTTGAATGGGTCTTCTAGGTTGGCCATTATCACAAAACCAGTGTGTGTGTAGACATGTTCTCACTGCTATTAATATTTGTCTTATCTATTTAGCTGAATTTTGCACTTTATATCCAGGTCATACCCAACATTTCCCCAGCTCTTGGAGATCATTCTTAATATTCTGATATGATATCATGCCTCTCACTTTTATTACTGATATTATCTTACCACAAAAAGATAGGGTTTTTTATTTTTGCATTTATTTGTTATCTAATTTTCCAATAAATCAAAGTAAAAGGACAGCTTTAACATCTAAATACAGTATTTCAGTGAATCACCATATAAGAGGTACTAGGTGCCCTCTCACTTGAAAAATGTATTTAGTGTATCATAAGATACTGTGTCATGGGTAGTAGAAGCTTAGTCAAGCATGGTTTCCAAAAGGTTTCAGAGAGATCAAAGTATTTTACAGTTATATTTTATGTATGCTTTCCCAATAACTACCTTATGAAGAAGTAAATTTATTCTTATTTCCATGCTAGGAATGGGAAGCTACTTTATATTGGCTGGGTTAGTGCATCACACCAAACCATAGATTTTGACTACCATGGTTTGTGAATTTAACCATTGAGATTATAAACCATACTTTTAAGTTAAGGCATGCAACTATTTGGATTCTGGGGAATAAACTTTATCCTCCCCCCCCCTTCTTTTATTGCCCTTGGAGGACTTCAAAGGATGTAAGAATAACAAGCAAAGTCATAAAGAGTGATGAACTGAAATTTTCAGCCCTTAGTAGAGTTTTTCATTCATAATAGTTGCATCAAGATTCTTAAAACTACCCTAAAAATACTCTGCTGAAAATCATAATTTTGGGATAATTAGAAATGGAAGACGGGAAGAGAGAGAGACTGTATTGGCAACAGGTTGCTTTCCCCTAATTTATGGCTTAATAGAATGAGTGGACCAAATCATTGTGAGTTATTCAGTCAACCATGCTTATGGAGACCATAGCTTATCACAGAGATTAAGAATGTAGCATTTGTGGGCCCAAGTGCATCTGCAGCTTTTCTTATGGCATTCATAGAAACCAAATAACTAAATACTAAGATTTTTTTTAAAAAAAATAGCACGACAGAACTTTTGGGTAATTACCTAATCTTGCAAGATTTCAGTGTTCTCACATGAGGTCTCAGAGATGAAATCACCAAAATCTTGCAGGATCTGTTAAAAAAAAAAAGATTTGTCAATTTCATTGATATAAGCCATTGAAAACATGTTTTAGTTTGCTATGCTCATACTTGTTCAAGCTCTCAGAGGGGTACTTTCTGCCTGAAAAGACTGTCTACTTTTGGCTTAGCATAATGTGGGAATCAGGTCACACAGTCAGACTGTTGTTCTATTTATCTGGTGCTCATGAGACTTCTGGCATTCACTACCAGAAGCGTGGATAGCATTTTGGCTAGGAATTCTGAGATTTGTAGTCCCAATTTTCTGGAGAGCATATAGTTTCAACACATGTGAGGAAGTTTGGTCAACACTGCCTGGGCTCAGTTCTGCAGGTTTTTGGACAGGATTTTCTCAAGTTTGCCTACCAAAACAGATGTGGATTTCTTTAATGTCGTTTGAGTTTATGTCAGAGGTTAAGATTTAAACCAATAGCTTTCTGATAAGAGTACCATAGCAGTTACCATCCAGATACAACCAGTTGTACTAAATTTATAAGGATAAAGAGGTAACTCAGTTGCCATTCAAAGCGTAGTAAAAGCTAACCTACAGACATACTAATTAAATTTGAAATTAACTAGAACACTGAACAATATTACTGTTATTTATAGCATATCAAGTCTGGAAAGACTAATAAAATAGTAATTAGTTCAAAATATATCTGTTTCCATCTTAGATACGGAACTAATGAATAGTTCAGTTAAAAAGGGAATTGAACAATTAAGCCTTATATTTAAAAGAAAATGGAAATAACATGATTATACTTTTTTTTTCTTTTTTCAGGAATATGATGTGTCTATCTTCTAATTGGTGGTATGTGGGCAATAGTACGTTGTCTTACACGATAGTTTCTAGATTAGAGATCCTGTTGTGTATAGAATAGCATAAGCATGCTTGCAGCACTGCCAAAACATGCCCAAACAAGTACGTAGCAAGAAGTGCTGCGTTAGTCTGGATCTGACTAAGGCTCATAACCTAGTCTATACCTTCTCTGCAGTATAAAACAGCATTATTTGAAAGCCTTGAGTGAGAAAAGTCATGAAGGGTAGCAATCATCCCATTAAGGTGCCATTGCTGACCACAACAGAAGATGGAAGACCATGCCCTGGAATGTAAAAAGAGTAAATGGGTTAACAGATGAAATTAAAGAAAAATAGGCATGTTGTATTTGTGAAATTAAGAGACCGAGAAAGGATATAAGAGATCTGAATGAAGATGGGCTGATTTGTTGAGTGGAGTTGAATGGCTAAAATGGATGTCAGAAAGTATGAACTAGTACCTAGACTATTAAGAGTGCATATAAACATATAAATTGGCAGGTTGTTGATCATTACATATTACATTTCAGTGAATTATGCTAATAGGTTTGAGTTTGGGGGGGTCTAGAGGAAAAAAATTACTCTGTTAGATAACATGAACAAATGGGTGGGAATGAGGTAAGAGTATATACAAACATTAATTCCAAGATCCCAAAATGAATGAGAATTGTGATTATTAGTATCTGCTTAGGAAAGGTCTGTATGTTTCAAATGCCAATTCATGTACACACATAGAAAAATAATTAAAAAGGATGAGTGATTTGACTGTATGGGTTGAAAGATTGAGAAACTCAGTGAAGGATACAAGGATAATGAAGGGCTCTGAATACGTGTCAGCCCCATTAGGTAGACTAGACCAGGAAATCAACTCCACCGGAAGGGGAATGCTACTTTTATTGAGATTGGCTATATTAACAGAATCTTGAGCGTTTGATTGTGCTGTACCTTCTCCTCCTTCTTATAGTTTAGTGGATTGGGAAGTGTCTGACTGAGCTGCTTCCAAATGTTATCTCGTTCTGGACTTTAAAAATGCTTCAGTCCCTTTTGCCTAGATAATGGTTCCTCCATATCTCCGTCAAGATCATCTTGAGACTGAATGTCAGGAATTTATCTTTAGGAAAACTAGATATGGGAGGAAAGGAAAGAAGGAGAAAAGGGGGGGGGGGAACCCAGGAAGACTGCTGGAACAGAAAGTATGACTCCTGTATGAAAGAATATTAGAATATAAATTAATTTCCCAACAGAATGAATGGAAAGTAGATTTACAGAAAAACGCTATTTAGGATAGAGTGAAAAGTATTATATTTCAGAGGGCCACAGAAATGATGTGTTGTAAAGATGTGGAATGATGAAGTGAAAGAGTCTCTAGTTGAAAAAAAAAATGCATATCAGAGAATGACTGCTGCCAAAAATGATGAGAAAAAAATATTGCACAATGTATGTAGAGAGAAGAAGTTGCAAAGAATATAAAAGAAAGCAAAGAACTGTTAAGGTTAAAAGAGACAAACAAAATGCAGAGTGATTTTGATGGAAATGAAAAAATGGAGGTGGGTTAAAAGGGGTAAACAAAGAGGCTTTATAGCAGAGAGATTAGAATTCACAATAAAAGCAAAGAAGTGATTTGGGATGAGACAAGTGAAAGAATGCTTAGAAGCAGTATTTTAGAGATCAGTATGGGAATTGTAGTGATATGTCAAAGAATGGAATTGAAATTAAAAATAAAAAAATAAATTTTAAAAGATGAAAAGAAAGTCATAAATGTCAGAATGTTGAGAAATGGTATGGTTACAACAAGCATAGGGAGTGTAACTGGAGAAGTGTTAAAATGTGGATGTAGTTTTCTTATGGAGTTATCTGTGAAGCTTGTTTAATATGTGTGTGAGGATTGGGAAGACCTAATGAATGGAAGAACACTGTTATTGTTCCCATATACAAAAGAATAATTAGAAAGGATGAATGCAAATACTTATAGTGGGATTACATTGTTAAGTGCACTTGTGAAGGTGTTTGGCAGAATTGTGAAATATGAGACAGAAAGGGTATGAGAGATGACAATGAGCAAAATTTGGAAAGTGAATTATAGTTTTATGTTGGGCTGGGGCCATGCAAATCAGATTTTTCTTTTCAACAGCTCATTAAGAAATGCATGAGGATTATAAAGTTTAATGTATAATTGTTGATCCATAGAAATCCTATGATAATGTGAATAGGCTTTAATTATGGATTGTTTTACATAGATATGGGGATGAAGACTGGTGGCTGAAGGTGGTATGAGCAATATTAGATACTGTAGATGTAAAGCAGATACGAAAATGGATGTGAAACTTGGCAAAGGGTTCAACAGTGACCATGGAATAAGTTGTGTGATCGTGTAATGTATTTATGGATAAAAGTGTACGTTTGTGGTTATGCTACTGGTGTGTTATTTGGGAACAAGAATGTGGATATACTATCTGACATCTCTCACTTTTGGGGATGGAGGGTATCTGAGAGGTTGGCTTTGGAGCCCAGAGAGCTCTAGTGCCTCCTTCACAACCTTAAGGTCTAGTAACTTGCAGGTATGAATTTATAATTTAAGTGCTTCAAGGTACAAATTTCTTTTTATGCAAACATAACGTCTAAATTAGCTGTCATTTTCAAAAGAGCAATCTTGTGGCAAGAAAATACATTGTGTTATGACCTACAAAGAAAGGGGGATTGGAATAAAACAAGTTTTCTATCTAAATGGGGGTGGCTGGTAGCCTGAGGATGCTCTCTCCACCTTCTTAGTTTGCATTGTAGTTTTAACTTTTTAGCTTAATTTTAATCTTTTGTAGGTTTTTTTTTAATCTATATATATATATTTCTAGGATTCTATAGTTTTTTTAATCTGTAATGCCACCTAGAGTCAGTTGTATAGAGAGATGGGTGGCATATAGAAATTTGAAAAATAAATAAATAAATAAGCAAGCAGATAATGCCATGTTGTGGGTTGAGAACCAATCTTTCGTACAGTGAAAGTTAAGGAGATTGTACAATGCAACAAAAGAGTATAGTTTTGAAACTTAATATATCAAAGACTGAAATGTTTTTGACAATGAAAATTGAGTGAATAATGGCAAGCCATACATAAAACTAGAACAAGTAGTTGAATTTATGTACTTTAGTAGAATGCAGAAATGAATGGAGAAAAGGAATGGAGAAAAGACATGTAAGTATTGGTAGAAAAATGGAATGTACATTGTGGATTCTTGCAAATGAATATTTATTTAAAAAAATGAAAATGGCTTCTGACCATAGTGTTAATGGAAGTAGAGTTGGGTATGTTGGGAGATACATAAAAGTTGAATGCAATAGGAAAACATTATTTAAGTAATGCTGAGTTTCCCAAAGTGGTCAATATCGACCCCCCAAGAGTCAATGGGATTATCCAAGGGGTTGTTGTTTTTATTACTATTATTATTTGTAGTATTATTAGTTAAAGTAGCATTTATTAAATTATTTTCATATAATAAATGTTTGGAGGTCGATGAACAATCTGAAACATCATGAAGGAGTTGATGAGCTGAAGACGTAGTGTGTGTGGCAAAACAAGAAGAGGTCAGGCAACGAATGAATGGAGGGTGAATATATACAGATTGAATATAAAAATGAGTGATTGATATGAAAGTACATTGGTCACGTTGGGTCATATGGAGAGAATGTATAAAGATCAAAACTCAAAACAAATACATGAAGGAAGAGTGAATGGATGGAGAGGATGGGGAAGATGTAGAAAATCATGGTTGGATGGAGTTGATGAGAATCTCAAAAAGAAAAAAATGAGTAGTTTAAAGAATGAGAGGTAATATATGAAACAGTGTATGGAATGAATGGCACGAAAGATGGATTATAAGTTATGGAGCAATACTGTTAATGGTTTTAGTGTAAACTAGATTTAGCCATGTTTCCTTTTTTTTAATCTCATGCCTTTAATTTTTTTGGCTTAATATTTCTTACTCCTTTCTTGTGCTTCACATAATGTTGCTTATCTCAAAAAGAGATAATATGATGGCTGTGTGTGTGTGTGTTTGTGTGTGTGTAATTACTTCACATGTGACCATAGAAGAAGAGAAATACAATGGTACATTCCATGTTAGCTGTGTTCTGTAGATTAGTTATAGAGTAAGGGAGAATTTTATGATTGAGGAATCTTTTGGCTATTGAAACTGAAACATACTCTTTATTAATTTAAGAAAAATAACATATGGGTTAAAAGGCATGATAAATATACTGCATAATCATAGATATTTCTGCCCACCCATAGCTTTCTATAAAAATTGGCAATAGTTTCAATTTTCTCCTTTAGGAAAAAAGAAAGAAAGGAAAAGGCAGGAGGAAAGAACTACATTCCTTTTCTGATCAACACAACTTGTGATTTTCTGGCTTGATGAACTGAGCTTCCCTCTGTGTGTGTATATATGTATATATGTATGTGTGTGTCTATATCTATATATCTATATCTATATCTATATCTATATCTATATCTATATCTATATATCTATATCTATCTATATGTCTGCATTTTCATTGAACTAGACTTTTATTAAGTTTTCATTGAAAGTACTACTAGAAAAAGCATAGGTCAAATTTTAAATTGCCTTGTCCTTTGTCTTCTGCACACATAAATTTAATTCTAAAAAGAGTGATTTATCATGTCTTCTCCTTATTGATTTTGATATACACACTAGGCAGAATGATTCTGATTGCTTTAAGTGAAACAAGGATCAGAGTTATCTTATTATTGAGATTGAATTTTCAGAATTGCCAGAAAAAGATGGCAATGCTCATAGATTACTAAGGCATACTAGGGGTGTGTAGAAGTTATGTTCAACTGGTTTTATCTTATACAACAGATTGGTCATAGCAATAGTAAATCAATGCATGTTTCAGTAAAGGTAAGCAAAAAAAGAAAAAAGACTCAATAAATAGGAGCAAAAAAGACTTATAAATATAATTTTCTTTTAATGATTTGAATAGTTTCCATTAGCAAACAGAAATTCAACCATATAATGGTTTTGTAATGTTTGATAAGATTATGTTTGTAGATTTTTACATTCATTGATTTAACATTAACAATGCAGAATATAATACATATATATGTTATGTACCACTACATAAATTATTCTGCATTAAATGGGAATGTTTTATATTTTATCAGTTACTTGTCAATTTTTAATAGTAAATGCTAAAATTTTCACTGGGTTTCCATGATGTTATCTTTCTTCATTGTCATTGGCTGAGTTTTATAAATTAATGCTTTAACACTTAATAATAAAAATGTAATAATGAATATTCTGCTTACATACCTGTTTCAATCAGTGTGATTAAAATCTTGCTTGTTTTAGGAGCTAATACATGAGTGACAGGAAATCATTGACGGACTATGTTTTGGACCTAAGAGATGCACAATGTGGCACTGCAGACTTTTAGGGGTGATGCCTGTATGTGTATACCTATTTGCATTTTATGATTTCAGAAATTGGACACTAGAAGGGACTAAAGATTCCAGGCAGAAAAGGAAAATGAAAAAAAAAAGTGTAAACTTGCCTTTGGTTTTCAGTTCATATGGGGATTTACAAAATGACACAAAACACTATAACATTTGAAATACTTCAGGAGATTTTCCAAGAATGGGGCCAGACATTAGTAGCCATAGTATCAGAAATGTCAGTAATGATGTCTGCTTCTGTGGATAGACTATGTCCAAAAGGTGTTAAATCCAATGCAGAAATACTAGAATCAGAAATACTGGATAATAAAAAAAAAGTATGGATTATAAGATAAAGAAGGCAGTTAAAGTAGAATTACAAATGACAAGCCAAGAGAAGAACCCTGAAAAGGACTTTTTACTGGATATTCAAAAGAAGCTGGTTAAAGTTTTGAAAATCAAAGTGGAAATACAAATGACAAACCAAGAGAATGACCTGGATAATGACTTTTTTGCTAGATTTACAAAAGAGGTTTGCTAAAGCCTCCAAGAAGCCCCCAGTTAAAGTAGAATTACAAATGACAAGCCAAGAGAAGAACCCTGAAAAGGACTTTTTACTGGATATTCAAAAGAAGCTGGTTAAAGTTTTGAAAATCAAAGTGGAAATACAAATGACAAACCAAGAGAATGACCTGGATAATGACTTTTTTGCTAGATTTACAAAAGAGGTTTGCTAAAGCCTCCAAGAAGCCCCTGTGATGGGAAAAAGAAAAATTGAAGAAAGACCGAATCCTACGACAACATCTGAATGAATTAAAGATCAAGACTGTCAGAAGCAAAAGGAAGGAATATAATGTTGGTTTGTTTGATTGAAGTTACAATAAGACATGTTTTTATAAAGCTCTGGTAACCCTTTATGGACTTTTTTGCTGACACCAGGACTGAAATGAAAGAAATATACGTTTATGACCTTAAAAGGGGTGAAGAGTTATCAAATTTGTTTTTACTTGTAATGAAGATCAGAAGTTACTTCTGTACATATTAATTTTCTTTTTCATTATCTTACTTTCTGCTTTTTCTTTCTTTGCACTTTTTATTCTTTCTATTTCTTCTTTTTCTGAGTTTAGTTTGTATTTGCTTTTACTATTGTAATTTAAATCTTTAATAAAAATTATGAACTAAAAGAAATATATACAGTAGTAACTGTATGTAGCAACTGGAGGTCAAGTTTAAAAAAACATCATTAGGACATAAGGTGCAGTTCAAACTCATTAATTTATTTTCCCTTCCTACAGCTTCTTTTCTACTGCCGGTTTACAATCATTCAATTGCTTTCTGTATAGTGATTAAATAGCTGGAAATAGTATTTAAATAGGGATATGTTAAGAGATCCAGATTTGAAGATATATAATTTTTATTTCTCACTCAGCTTCACTTTATTTCCATGTCAACCCAAACATGCTGCAGCCCTCAGTGTTCTTACCGTTATAATATTGGTATGTCATATATTTTGCTTGCCATCTTCCTATAAGCCATAGGGAATCAGGACTATCTTCTAAATTTGTATTCTTTCACTTCCCTTTGGTCTAGAAAAAAGAATGAGTAGCTCTCAGTGAGCAGTCCAAAGATCCCTTAGGGCATAGTCATTAAAAGAAATAATATACTTGCCCTTAACTTGTGATTCTCCTAGTGGAGCCATAAAAATGTCAGAAAACGGATGTAGGAAACTGTTGCAGCTAGTTTTAAAAATAAACACTGTTTGGGGTGTAAATTTTTAAAACATGGGTCATAGTACAGACTGCCTGCTCAGGATGGATTTGAAAATCTATTCATTCCAGCAGCCACAAACACCAAAACATTGTATTTTTCCTATTTAATCAAGATAGATTAAAATGAACCATTTCCTGAATTTTGCTCTGTTCTTTCTCCAAAAAAATTATTGGGACAAGTTTCTTAACGGGACCTTAATTTGATGCCATCTGTGCAACCGCTGAATTTGATAAACTGCACCTCCTTTTTGAATTTAGGAAAGTGACTTCAATATTTTCAATGAGTGCCCATGCATGAAATTTCCCTTGTCTAGAGTGGCCTGTACTATGCTGTTCTCTGTACCATTAAGTGGGTGTGTATGTTTAAGTATATTGTGTGTATGTGTGATACAGTTGCATGCATTTATCTGTATGAGCAAGCTAGTTTCTTCTGCTGTAATGAAAAAGGAATAGGATCCTTCTTCTTTAATAAATGTTAAAGTACATATAAAACACTGAAGTTATATTTAGTTGTTTTTCCCCTTAGATTAAAAAAAAAAACCTTGTATTTCTTGTTAATTTTTTTTTCTATCCCATTTGCAGCGCAAGGCCATTGCTGTAATTGGCTTTATAGCAGCCTTTCTAATCCTGATCATTGCCCGCCTTACAAATGAAGTCAGTTTTCCTCTCATACTCAACTGCTTTGGACAGACCAGTGTCCAATGGATGCCATTTTCTTATACACAGAGGCGACCTCTAAGGGCACACTATGGATATCTTAATGTGAAAACCCAAGAGGTAAGAAATCATACTAAAGCATCTTATAAAGGTATATGATGTTCTTCATGAAGGTAATTTTAAGTATTCTTTCTTTTATGTGGACAAATGGCACTGTTATTGAAAATGGAAATGTTATTCATTTTTAAACAGTGAATCAAAATTAATTAGTCAGTAATTATTTAAATAAACTCTTTCTGCATGGTTTTAAATCAAATGAGATACGTATGGAATAGAGTTTGTTATCTAATAAGTGCAGTTGGGATTTCAGCCTTGATTGGCTTAATGAAGCAAGAACCTCAAGTTATCTGGAGGTTGAGTCATGGCAACCGGACTTTTGGTTAGATACGTTTCGCTGCTTGTCCAAGCAGCTTCTTCTGAAGAAGCTGCTTGGACAAGCAGCAAAACGTATCTAACCAAAAGAAAAGAAGTCCAGTTGCCATGACTCAACCTCCATATAATTCCACCTGGATGACTGAGAATCTTCATCAGCATAAGAACCTCAAGTGTTTTTGAAGAGCAAAACAACCAGTTTTCTTCCAAAGGGATAAATAACATTTCAATTGGACTATATCTTTTTCTGTAAAGATTTTTCATTTAAGTGCAGTGTCTTCATCATGAAATATAATCAAAATATCTTCATTCATTAACTGCAGAGAAAAAGACATGTCTTGGCTAACTTTTGATTAAAGCTGTTCATGATATGGTGTTCTTGAAACGATGTACCGGTGTTGTAGCTATAGCAACACTGATCAGAAACGATTTACATGAAGATGCTTATAGAACTGTTTACAGTCTGTTGCTAAATCATCTCTGAATTTGGGGTACTGTCTGTGGGAATCCAAGGTGATTTCACTCATTGTGTATAAAGTGCTAAGCCCTTCTGAAAAAGGCTATTACAGACTTTAGAAGACTTAGTCTGTAAATTAAGGATGCTGGGTGTTTTTTCCCCCTGAGAATACAATTACTATTTTTGCTCTAAGGATACAATTTTAATTGATGAGCTGAAGGAATGTTCTATTAAGTCTCTTAGATTAAATATGTGTAATAAAGAGAAGAAAGAGAAAAGGGTTTTTTACTTGTTTTTAAGAATTTTTTTTTTAAAAAAACACTTTTTAGAAAATTACATTTGCACTTCTCTAAAATATTTTAAAAGCTCAAACAGGATTGTTACTCTTTTCATGTTAGATGGGAACATGCGTAGGGAGGAGGTGGAGGGGCTATTATCTAGTTTAATCTTTACTTTATATAGGCTCTCCTTATGCATACAGTGGTGGGACCAGCAGATATGGACTCCCACTAACAAGTGCTATTGTTAATGTTTGCATTTGTATACTTGACTTAGGAATGTATTTTATGCTCAACTGAACAATATAATCTTGGGTAAACATGCCTTGCTTTCCAAAATTATGGGGATTATTTGTTCAGATAAAAAGAGAGAAAGAGAGAGAGAATTCTGGAAATGTTTGAAAATAATTCATTTTTAAGTAATTTTTTTATTTCATGGAACACAGTTTATGGATAGAAGGTTACAAAGTAGTCTTTTCTTTAGGAACTGAGCAGTCCCAGCCCAAGATAGGCAGTTCAAAATTATGCCATGGTCAGGCTGTGAATTCACATGTAATAATCCTGGTCCAGTATATCTTACATTAGTGTGGATTTCAGAGATGGATGCATAGAGTTGGATGAGAATGATTAAAATACCTCTTTATTTTTAAATCATGGAGGAAGGTCAAGATCAAAACTAAAGCTGCATTAAAAAATATCTTTGTTTAGTAAAGACAGCAGATTTGTAATGTTTTGCTTAAAAAGTGTAAGCATGCAATGTAATCATATTGTATGTCCTATTCACAAAGGAAAGTTGAACAAATACATTTTCTTGTCTTCTTTAATTTTGGTGTATCATCTATTTTGATTATTCTGTCCTTCCTTTTCCAAATATTCCAAATATACCCCCTTTCTGTGATTTCCCCCATTTATTTTGCATTTAACTGTATTTATTTTCTCAATTTGAAAAGGTCTTATTCATTGATCTCTCTCCCCACCCATTGCTTTCTCACGGTGCAGTAGACATTACAGTTAGGAAAAAATTTCTGATTTCTTAAGTGGAATTTTGTATGGAAAAAGGGAATCAATACCTTTAGAACTACATAGATTTGCAGACAGAAATGAAATTAATACATTGAAAAAGGAAAATAGAAAATCTCTTTTGTTTTGTTTCTTAACATTGCCTAAATTGGTAGGTAGAAAAGAAGATTAAATATAGAGGTGATTTCACTAGTTCTTTTCTTAAATTGTCTTGTTTCTAATTGTTCCAATAGGAACAGGGAGCCTCAGGTTTATAGGGTTAATATAGCCGATCAGCAGTCCTGTCTTAGCACCTACAAGCAGGTAACCAACCAACCCCAAGTTCTCTCTGAAATCCCATCAGATTCCAAAGGCATCTGGGTGGACTGATTGAATAGATCTTTCTATCTGCAGTGGGGAGAATCTGCAGAGAACTCCAAGGCAAGCTGAGAGTGATCTGACTTGATAAGGGACTGATGGTACCACCTTCCAACGCCAGATCACATTGCCATCACAAAAATAGATCTAATGTGTGACCTCTGCTGCATGTTGGGCCCTCATTAATCTGGGTCAGGTCCATGATTCTGCCTCTAACTCCACACACAAGGGAGGCAGGTGAAAGTCCCCCAGTACCATAAGTCTGGGAGCTTCATAGCCAATCCACCTGTAACACTGAGCAGCTCAGATAAAAAAGCTGTTTTGACCAGAGTGGCTGATAGAATAGCAACAATCCCACTGATCCCTAGAACCCAACTTCATTAACAGGATCTCATATCCAGTTTCCTGTGGGCCAGTGCCTGTGAAAACCACCAGAGTATCTTGGAAGACTACAGCCACTCCACTGCCCCTACCCTGGGGCTGCAGCTAGTACTACACTTGAAACTCAGATGGGCACATTTCCAAGAAGGGAACCCTCTCCCTGCCACCAATACTCAGGTTGTGGTGATACATGCAAGGTCCAGGTCAGCTCTCTTATTCATTATTAGGTCCTGGATGAGGGACTCCTTACTGCAGGCTGATCTGGCTGTTACCACCAGCAGTAGGTAACAGCAAGAGCCACTGAGGACTGGAATGTTGGATTGGTATAAAATACCAAGACTGCCTTCCCCAGGAATGGCCCATCCCCATCTTCCACCATATTTCCCCTTGCCCATCACCACCATTATGTTATTGCCTTTCTCCTCTCCCCAACTAACCAGACCCTCGACCCCTGCCTGCAAGCCCCAGGTCAGAGGGACCTATCTCACACTCTGATAGCAAAACCACTCAACTAAGTAGCTAATCTGGTTCTGCAGGACATTTCTGCCCAATCCTTGGCGTCCCTCGTCCTAGACAACCTTGTATTCTTCCTCAGCCACCCATACAATATCACTATATCCTCCTTTTCACCCTGTTCTTACCAGGTAGTTAATCTAAGCCATGCCTTCAAGCCCTGCCACAGCTGGGGCAAATTGGGGATTCCCACTGCACCTTCCATCTCCTATCCAGAGGAAAGACACCTGCATCCCAATTGACACCGGTCTCTTAACACCATCTTCTGTCCAGAATCTACAAGTCCATTTCCTTTCATCAACCAGTTCTTCAGACTGCCTGGGCAGAAAACTGTAGTGGCTGAAAGACAGAACACAAAGCAGATACTTCAGCCCCTTTAAGTCACATCACATGTAGGGGACAAGATAGTTGCTCTCCAGGGTGGCAAGCCTCACAACAGCTTCAGGATGCAGATCAATCCTCCAGAAGGCCCACCAGTCCACTCCCACTGCCACTCAGCGTTTCCACCTTAGGTGCCTAGAGCCTTTAAAACACCTTGGTTGAGCATCCCCAGGTCATTGCAACTAACACTGCTCAGTTGGTAAAACAGTCTGAGACAGACACACTGCTGCTGCCACTACCTGGTCCAAGATTACGGCCTGCTCTGTCACCACTGATATGCCACCAACTTTTCAACAACTGAGTGGCAATGACTCCAGTGCAGTGCTGCCAAGCAGTTGATTGGCAGTGCTGCTGCCACCACCAGCCTGTCTGTTCCTTTTCTCTGCATGTTGATCAAAGACAACTTGCTGAATCATGTACTTACAGCAATAGAGGAAGCACCATCTGAATGGAAAAAAATATCACTGAATTAAAGATATATACTGTATTTGGTCATATCGGTTGAATGAAATGTAAGAAAGGCTTCTGGCAAGAGAATGGCAACAAATGTAACAGAAAGGATCCAGCATTACTTATTGTTGCATGTGGTAGCACCATGCTGGTGGATCAAAAGCTAAGAAAAAACATAAAACATGTCATGCCAAAGTCATTAATTTTATGCTATGTTTCTTAGTTACCAGCCTCCTCAAAATGACAGAGAATTGTAAAAAGAAGGAAATACAAAGAACAGTGTCCAGTGTACAGAAAACTATAGTCTCCCTCAAGAATTATACATTGATAAAACGTCTGACCCAAGAATATTTGAGAAAGAAGGCAGTGTTGTCTCAGACTATCTGCCAGTGGCTACAGGATACATAAATTATTAGGTAGAAAAATTATTATTAGGTCATTATTAAGGTGTAATAGACTTGTTTTGCTACAATGAAGAACATTCTTTGCCTCAGAGAATGATTAAAGGATAAATGCTGCACTAAAACCCAGGGAGATAGATGGTAAGCTTCAAAAACTCTAAATCTGCTTGGCCAGTGGTAAACAAATGTGCTATCAGAATCACATGAAGAGACTGATAAATATAGAACAGTAGCTTATGCTTCCTTCTCCATCATCCATGAATAATGAAATCAAAGGCGACCAGGAGGGCATGGGACGTTGATGTTTGTTGGGTCTGTTGCTTTGATTGGGCCGGTTACCTGAGAAACATTCGTGCTCTGTATTTTGGCCTGTCCTGCTGCCTCATGAAATTGGCTAGTTCAAGCAGCATCAGGCAGAAGTCAGACTGAAAACTAACATGCAAAAACCTC